CTGCTCTGAGGTCTCCAGCAGCTTCTCTTCTCCAGGCTGAACAGCCCCAATGTTCTCAGCCTGTCTCCATATGGGACCTGCTCCAGCCCCTGATCATCCTCGTGGCCTCCTCTGGACTTACTCCAACAGCTCCATGTCCTTCTGATGTTGAGGACCCCAGAATTGCACCCAGTGCTGCAGGGGGGGGTCTCACCAGAGCAGAGCAGAGGGGCAGAATCATCCTTTTAGGGTGCCCCTCACCATGGTTTCAGGGCCCCCTTTCCCCCTATGCAGAGATTTGGCTCGTCCATCCCAGCTCTGGGTGAAACCTGGGCAGAGCCTCGGTGGCTTTGTGGCCAGAGCGTGTCCCTAAGCCATGTCCCCTTGGTGGTGCTGGGGTTTGGGGGTTCCAGGCTGTGACACCTCTCCCTGTCCATGGGCAGGAGTCGGGCTGTCGGACCACACACTGCAACCTGGAGGTGCTGCAGGAGAGCACCGTGGTCATCCTGGCCACCAAACCCCACGTGCTGCCGGGTGTGCTGCAGGAGATCCGTCCTGCTGTGGGACCACACCATGTCATCATCTCATTGGTGGCTGGTGTCACCCTCCAGACACTGCAGAGGGTGAGTCTGCTCCTCCTTTTCCCCTTCCTATCCCTCTTCTTATCCCTCTTCCTATTCCTCTTCCTCCTGCTCCTCCTCCTCCTCTTTCTCCTTTTTCCTCCTCTTCCTTCTCTTCTTCCTTCTCCTCTTTCTCCTCCTCCTTATCCTCCATCTCTTCCTCCTCCTCCCCCATGGAGAACATGCCACTCTGGCTCTGTCCCCATGGTCCATCTCCAAGTCCTACCCTATGGACCTCGCTTCTCCACCAGCCCCAGTGGGTGGTACCCACCGGTGTCTCACGATGCCCTTGGGTGCTCCCCGGAGCTGGCACCCTTCTCCCACCCCCATCTCTCCCCAGCTTCTCCCCAGTGGGACCAAGGTGCTGCGGCTCATGCCCAACCTGCCCTGTGTGGTGCAGGCAGGAGCGATGGTCTTCGCCCGGGGCAGTGGTGCTGGTGACGAGGAAGCCACCCTGCTGAAGAACCTGTTGTCCTCCTGTGGGCTCTGCGAGGAGGTCCCTGAGTCCTACATCAACATCCACACCGGCCTCAGTGGCAGTGGCGTGGCCTATGTAAGCACCAGCAGGACATGGGATGCCAGGAGAAATCCCACCCATGTAGGGCTGGAGTTGGGGTTTGGGGTTCCCCACCTTGCACTACGCTCACCCCTCATGTTCTTCTGCTCCAGGTCTACCTGTTTGCTGAAGCACTGGCTGAGGGAGCAGTGAAGATGGGAATGCCGGGTGGCTTAGCCACCAGGATCGCAGCTCAGACGCTGCTGGTGAGTTGGTGCTGGCACCTGGGGACACCCAACATTACTTCTCTCCCTCCTGCCCTGCAGCTCCCAGCCCCTGTCCCTGTCACTGCAGCACCCAGCGAGGTGGCAGAGTGAGGGAGGAGGTACTGGATGATGTCCTGCCTCGGTTTCCCCTCTTGAAACTAAAGATGAGGCCACCAGAAGACAGCAAAGTGCATGGTGGTGGGATGGATGCTTCAGTACCTTGTCCCCTGCTGCAGGGGTGTGGGTGATGGGAGGGTGCTGACATCCAATCTCCAGGCAAGGAGAAGGAGACTTGTTGGGGGGGGTAGGTCCTCTTCTCTCTGACCCACCCTGGTCTCCCATAGAATCATGAAATGGTTTGGGTTAGAAAGGACCTTAAAGCTCCTCCAGTTCCAACCCCCTGCCACAGGCA